AATATTTAATATTTAATATTTAATATAAATACATATATTTATTATTATTTTAAATATATCTAATGTATTAATTTAGTAAATATTTTTAATCAAAATTAAGTTAATTTTGATTAAAATGAAAATTTTTTCAAAAATATTTCAGATAATAATATAAATTATTTACAAATCAATTGAAATATTTTTAATCCATACTGCAATAACTAAAAACTAAGACAATTAAAAATTATATCTAATCTTATATTTTAAATAACTTAAAAAATTTGATAACAATAGATAAATATATAGATATTAATTTAAATTATATATAAAATATATCTATAATATTTATAATAGATATTATAAATAAAATATTGCTATAAAAATATTTTCTATAATTTTGATACAATATTATAAGTATTATATTTAATTTTTTTAAATTTTTATTTATTATTTATACTAATCGTAGTATAAATAATAATATAAAATATAAAAATGAGATTAATTATTATATACTTCCTATAAAGTATTAAATATATTAGCTTTTAAACTAAACCAATTTTATATTTTAAATTCTTCATAACTTCTATTTTATTTGATTGGTACTGTAATAAGCCATTAGCTCGTAAATAACAGGCGGCACATTTACTACAACCATTACCTTTAATACCTTGATAGCAAGTTAATGTTTCTTGATACACTAACTTTAATTGATGATAATAATCGGCAAGAGCCCAAATCTCTGATTTATTTAACCACATTAATGGTGTTTTTAAGTGAATATTATACGCAAGACCTAGTATAATAGCTTTATTTAATATCTCAATAAAATTATTACGGCAATCTGGATATCCTGAAAAATCAGTTTCACATACGCCAGTAATAACTGTTTTCGCTGATACTTGATAAGCATAAATAGCTGCTAATGTTAGAAATAAAATATTACGACCAGGTACAAAAGTATTCGGTATTGTATTATTTTGATTAGAGCTATAAATTGAAATTGGAATATTATCACAAGTAAGGCTACTAATAGCAAGTTCTTTTAATAAACTTATGTTTAGCACTTTATGTACTTTAACACCAAGAGCCAATGATAAATTTTTAGCTACTTCAATTTCAGCGTGATGTCGTTGTCCATAATCAAACGTAATACAGTGAACATCACTATATTCTTGTAATGCTTGAATTAAGCAAGTTGTAGAATCTTGTCCTCCGCTAAAAACAACAACTGCGCGTTTCATATTATCACCTTATCTTTTAATTTTTCTAATATATTATGTAGATTTTAAGTAATTTTTATGTTATTTATCCTTATTATTATAATTGTTAAACAATATTAATATCTAAGAATAATGAATTTTAGCGATACAATTAATTTTAATATTTTTTATATTAAGAATATATAAAACATATCTTTTATTAAAAATAATATTTAAAAATTAAAATAATAATGTAATAAAAATATTATTACTTAATATATGTAAAAAGATAAATAAATACTCTGGTGTATATTTTATTTTTAGTCAATTATCTTAATAATTAATTATACATAATTTTTTTAAACTGTATTAATATACTAAAAATTAATATTATTACATAACTATTGTGATTAATAAATTATGAAATAACTATTAAAAACTAAAATGTATCAATATTATACTTCAAGAATAAATTGAAGATAATAAATATTAATAATATTAATATGACTTAAATTATTTTTATGAATAATTTTTACATATCGTTATATATATTATAAATATTTTCTTATTTTCTACATTTTAAATAATATTTACTTTCTGTTAATATAACTAAAGTTAAGCCCCCTAACAAAATACTTAGGATAATGAAAAAATACTTCCCATTAACCATTGATTGATTGGCAATGCCAAATGGAGAAAATGTTATATATAGTAAAATAAGAAAAATAATTAGTAAAATACTAACACTTTTTACATGAGGCCATTGCATTAAGATAATATCTTTAGAAACATTTTCTACAAAATTATTTTTCTTTACAATAAAAAATTTACCAATTATTTCAAGTAAAATTAATTCAATAAAAAATAGTATACCCATACAATGAATAAAATTAATATTAAATATTTTATCAAAATTAAGATAAAGAATAAAAATACCATATATAAATGCATGAAAAATTAATACAATTTTAGCTGCTAACGCACTTGTATAATTACTCCTAAAAAATGCATAAAGAACAATAGCAATTACTGGCATATTAAAAAATCCAGTAAAACGACGTAATATCATATATATACCTTCTGGTGCATACATTAATAATGGCGCAACTAATATTGAAACTAATGCTACAATAATACTTACTAATTTTCCAAATCTCACTAAATAATGATCAGTAATATTTAAAAATAATGGTTTAAAAAAATCAAAAGTAATTAATGTTGATGATGCATTAATTATAGCATTAAAATGACTCATAACAGCACCTATAATTACAGCAACAAAAAAACCTTTCATCCATAATGGTAAAATCATTGTGACTAATTGAGGATAAGCAAGATCGGAATGAATAATAGGATTATTTTTAAAAATATGCCACGCAATAAGACCTGGCATCATTAAGAATATTGGTAGTGTTAATTTAAAAAAACCAGTTAATAAAACTCCTTTTTGGCCTTCTTCTAAACTTTTTGCTGCCATACATTTTTGAATTGTTGCTTGATTGGTGCACCAATAAAATAAATTAGCCATAAACATTCCAGTAAATATTGTACTAAATGGAACGGTATCTTTTACTCCACCAATCATATTTAATTTTTCCGGCGATTGATGAAAAATAATATTTATTCCTTGATAAAAAGAAGAATTACCCAATATATATAAACCAAGAATTGGCACGAAGAAAATAAAAAATAATAGAAAAACACCATTAATTGTATCAGAAATAGCTACTGCACCAAGACCACCAAATATTGCGTAAGCAGCACCAATTAAACCGATAATTACAATGAGAAAGGATATCGTTATAGGGTAAGAAAAATCTAATAATTCCTGAATATTAAATATTTTATTAATAGTAATCGCTCCTAGATACAGCGATGCTGGACTTAATACAAAAGTATAAGTTAAAATTAATAATATACTAATATAACGTCTTGTTACTGTGTCATAATGTAATGATATAAATTCTGGTAAAGTGATAAATCTTTCTTTCATAAAGCGTGGTAAGAAAAAAAGTGCTAGTATTACCATTGGTATAACAGCTGTTACTTCCCAAGCTATAGAGCTAAGATTATTAGAGTAAGAATTACCATTTAGTCCTATCAATTGATCAATAGAGGTGTTTGTTAGCATCATTGAACCTGCTATATAAGCATAGCTAAGTTTTCTACTTGCCATAAAATATGAATTAGCAGTTAGACTTTGATGTTTAATTGCAAGTTGATAGGATACTAACATGACAAAAATTAAAGTAATAAATGTCATTAACAATGTTAACATAATGCATATTACCTAGAATTAAATTTCCTGTTGCCGACCAAAATTTACAGATCCATCAATAGCAAAAGAATCAATTTCTATGAGTTCTTCTTTATTAAAGGTAAGGTTTTTTAATATATCTACATTCTCACGTATTTGTGTACAACTACTTGCTCCAATTAAAGTTGAGGTGATACGTGTATCACGTAATACCCAAGATAATGCCATTTGTGCCAATGTTTGATTACGTTTTTTAGCTATTTTTTCAAGATATTTAATACGTGTTAAATTTTCTATCGAAAGATCAGTAGGACTAATAGTAGATCTTGATAATGTTTTTAATAACATATTATTTAAATTATAATTACTGTATTTTTTAGTAAGCAATCCTTGAGCTAAAGTACTAAATGCTATTATGCCCACACCATATTTTTCACAAATGTTTAAAAGTTTAAGTTCTATCCAACGATTAAACATATTGTAAGAAGATTGATTAACTAATAATGGAATATTATACTTACTAAGTATATTTGCTATTTCAATTGTTTTTGAAGATGGATATGAAGAAATACCTACATAAAGTGTCTTTCCTTGCGTTACTGCACTAGCAAGTGCTCCAGCTGTTTCTTCTAATGGAGTTTCTTTATCAAAACAATGTGAATAGAATATATCCACGTAATCTAATTTTAGACGTTTAAGACTTTGATCTAAGCTTGCAAGTAAATATTTACGAGAGCTCCCTTTTTGGCCATATGGTCCAGGCCACATATCATAACCAGCTTTTGTTGAAATAATAATTTCATCTCGATATTGGCGTAAATCTTGATGAAAAATTTTACCAAAATTAAGTTCGGCGCTACCATATGGGGTTCCATAATTATTTGCAAGATCGAAATGAGTAATCCCTAAATCAAAAGCAGTATGTAACATCTCGCGTTGTGTTTCTAGTGTATTTTCCCCACCAAAATTTTGCCATAACCCTAAGGAGATAATAGGAAGACGTAATCCATTTTTTCCTGCTTTTCGATAAATCATCGATTCATAACGTAATTTATCTGCTTTATAAGTCATATATTATTATCTCCAATAAAATATTTATGTTATTATGGATATAATAGGACATTATAAATTTATAGATAACCCTAAATGTTCACGAAGTGTAGTGCCAATATATTGAGTACGAAATAACTTTCTTCTCTGTAGTTCAGGTACAATATACTTGGTAATATCTTTTAATCCATTTGGAAGGTGTGGTACTAGTATGTTAAATCCATCGGCTGCATTTCCCTCAAACCATCTCTGAAGCTCATCAACTATTTTTTCTGGTGTTCCAATTAAACTATAGTGACCACGTCCTCCTGCTATATATTTGCCTAATTCTGCTAATGATAAATTTTTAGAAGACCCTACTTCTGATAATAATTTTTGCCGACTTTTTTGTCCATTTTCTGATAATGGAAGCTGGGGTAGTGCGCTATTAGGATCATAAGATGATAAATTAAAATTACCTAGCATACGTCCTAGTAATGCTATTCCTACTTCTGGTTTTACTAATTCTTGAAAAGTATTATATTTTTCTTTTGCTGTATTTTCTGTTTTTCCAGTAACAATGAAAACACCTGGCATGATTTTTAATGAATGCTGACAACGACCAAATTTTGCCATACGTTCTTTTACATCACGATAAAATTTTTGAGCTAAATTGAATGAACGTTGAGCAGTAAAAACTACTTCAGCTGTCTCTGCTGCTAAATTTTTTCCATATTCAGAAGAACCTGATTGCACTACAACAGGTTTTCCTTGCGGTGATCTAGCGATATTCAAGGGGCCTTTAACTTGAAAATATTTTCCATGATAATTTAACTCATGTAATTTATCTGGATCATAGGTAAAACCTAATTTTTTATCATTAATAAAAGCATCTTTATCCCAACTATCCCATAATCCAGATACAACTTGATAAAATTCCCTAGCCCGGACATATCTTTCAGCATGAGTAAAATGTGAAGAACGGCTAAAATTCATCGCTTCATTAGCTGCATCTGTTGTTACTAAATTCCATCCAGCACGCCCTCCTGAAAGATGATCTAATGAAGTAAATTTACGTGCGATATGATAAGGCTCGTTATAACTTGTTGTTGCAGTTGCAATTAGCCCTATATGTGAAGTAACACTTGATAATGCTGCTAAAAGAGTTAGTGGTTCAAAATAATTTGAACGAGCCATTTGATGTGCCGTAGGTGAATCAAAGGTACATACGCTATCAGCGATAAATATCGTATCAAAGCAGGCAGATTCTGCTATTCTTGCCATTTCAACGTATTCTTTAAAATCTAAAGGATTAGGATTTACGTCTGGATGACGCCACGCAGCTACATGGTGACCAGTTGGATGTAGAAATGCTCCTAAGGACATTTTCCGTTTTTCACCCATTATTTGTTACTCTCCTTTCATAGATTTTATTTTTAATAAGAATATATTATTTAAACTAAATTTTTTAATAAAAAAAATACATATATATATAATAAATATTAGTTAATTTTTAGATAAAAAATATTTATTACATATAAATTCAATTAAAGTTTATTATTTATTATAACATTATAACTAAATAAATTAGTAAGTGTGATTTAAGGTATTCTATTATCAGAAATAATATTGATTATATAATAAAATTATATGTATTTAGATAAAATCTATATAATAAATTTTTAAATGCTAAATATTTTTTTTGATAAAATTTATTTATTTTTAATATATATAAATAGTACTACTATTTATAGTGTTATAATAAATTAAGTACGTAAGTATTAAAAATGATTCTAATTTATTAAAAAGAAAAAATCTATATCTATTTTAGATAGTTAGAATAACTAATTATATAATAAATATATTTATTAAAAATATCATATCATATTTTTAATTTTTTAAAAAAATTATTTTTATTTAGTTTTTATTATTAATTAATATATTGGTTTATTATGTTTATAATAATTTTTATTAATTGACAATTTAATCATTAATTTTTATTAATTATATTATTTTTTTATTTTTATTATTTTAATATTATATGAAATAGAGTGCCTTCATCCTCATTAAATAGGATGAAGGC